GTGCTGCGTCAACAGGCCAAGGCATCAGATGTGGAGCAGGCGAGTGCGGGGCCCATTGTTCCTGCGGCCTGCCCGTGCGCCTGCATCCCTTCCCGCCGCCTCTTTGCCTGCTGCTTGTTGCTTGCCGCTTGCTGGTGATTGCGGCAGCACGTCTTGACCACATCACCTGTCAGATTGGCTTGCATTCATGGCCATCCTGCAATGAACTGTCACCACTTCGACGTGCTGCAGGAAGGCTGCCTGCCGTGTCCAGCTGGCGTTCGCTGCCACAGCCGCAGACGGCAGCCGAGTGGGCTCGGGAGGAGCAGGCGCTGCGCCAGGTGACTGCTGCTTCCCTGGAAAGCTTGGCAGGCGGTGCAGAGCTTAGCTGTGGCTGTGCTGCATCGGGAAGCGCGCGGACGTCTGCCGGAACAGGAGCTGACCACCTTATGTTGTGTGCCCTGCCCGGGCTGCGGCGCAGGTGGCTGGAACTCTCAAGCCGGGCTCAGAGGTGCAGCAGGCTGTGCTGCTGCTGCGCAAGTACAGCACAGGTGTGTCTCCCACGGCGGGGTGCATCCTGCCAGCTGCTTTTGCTTGCCACTGGGTGGTGTTGCGGCAGAGTAGCGCATGCTACGCAAGGCCAGCAGCTGCTCACCGCTCGCTGCGCCCCGTGTCGTCTCCTCCTCGTGCAGCCGCGGCCCAGGTGGAGGCAGAGGGGCGGCCAGATGCTCTGCGGCAGCTGCTGTCGTCTATGCCGCCACCTGGTGCCAAGGAGTGGCCGTCAGCCATGGCTCTTGCCCAGGGCCTGGCCGGCATGTGGAGCCGGGAGCTGGAGTTGGACGCGCCGCTGCGGCTGGGGCTTGGCTCGGACAGCCTGGTCATCCAAGAGACCAAGCTGACAGCCGGGGGTGAGCCCTGGGATGGGAGGTACCAGCCGTGTGAGACGGTGCTGGCTGGTGCCGACGGTTGCATCACTGCAGTCCGCTGTGCGCTGTGGGCTGCCATGCTGATTGGCGTTGTCTCTCTGCTTGACTTGCCTCCTGGCTTCCTTCCGCTGCTGCCCACACCCCTGCACCGCCTGCCTGGGTGTGCAGGCGTCAGCAAGGCCATGCGCCAGCTGCGGCACGCCTTCCGGCTGGTGGCATGGCTGCACTTTGCGCTGGGCGCTCCGCTGCCGCGGCTGGAGGGGCGCATTGTGGTGCCTCACACAGAGCTGCGAGAGGCGCAGCGCAAGCTGCACAGAACCAGCAGGGGCGTGCAGGACTCTGTGCCTGGCGGGGGCGGCGCCAGGTTTGATGTGTCCATCATGGCGGACACGGTGTAGCTGACCCCGCATGCCTGGCTGTGGTGCGGACGATGTGGCCAACTCTCTTGGCTTTGATTACAACAAACAATTCTTTCTTGAATATTTTGATGGATTCTTTCTTTCTTTCTTGAATCTTTCTGTCTTCAATGTTTGATGTCTGCCCTTTTTCCACTCATGCCTCATGTTCACTGATTTTTTGCCTCCCCTTTCTGATGCTCGCCTCTGTTCTGCATGCTCCCTCTGTCCACGTGCATGCTTTCTGAGTACCCCTCTGCTACGTGTCCACCCTCCCCTCCCAAGTGCATGTTTTGTGTCACCGCATCTTGCAAGCCGTAGCCATCTCTCGCCCCTTGTAACAATGCTTGTACTTTGGATAAGGCGTGCAATTGCGGTGGCAATATGCTGTGGCATTGCCCACCTGGTGCAGCGGCAGCCGGCAATGCTGATGAGAGATTTCCAAGAGGGGGCTGCATATCTGGCGTCAGGAGGTGGTCAGATGAGGCAGGGCCAGGGAGGGGCAGGGAGCGAGCCGCCAGCTGCCACCTGAGCACCCCACCTGACTGAGGGGCTGAGCGGTTGCAAGCGGCCGCTGCCTGAGCACCCAACTGAGATCTGTCTGACTTCTGCATGACTGAACTGCTGCATTGAATGTAAGGCACGTGTTGGGCCCCATATGGGCAGAATGCAAAGGACGAAGAAGGGTGAAGAATCAGCAAGAACATATCGAGGGCACAGGGTGCGGTGCTGCCCACCCCGCCCACCATGGTTAATGCCTGCGGGGTGTGCACCCGTAGCGGCTCCGCTCTCCATCCCTAAAGGTTAAACCACACCCCAACTCAGCCTAATTGTGTTCTTTGCCCAAAGAAAGGGATCAGGGTGCAATCATGGCAAGACAAGGTCACCACTCTCCCAACTGCGACTGGAGGAACCCAGAGTTCCAGGGCAGGTTCGCTTACTTCAGCGTTGTCACAAGCCGAGCCAGAAGTCGTTCACAGTCACCAAGATGACGACCCAAACAGGCTGTAATCAACTGCACGGCCAAGGACACCGTAGAATTGCGGCGGATGGACAACGCATGGCCACCTGCCTGTCATGCGGCCCATTGCAGGGGGTGACTGTATAGGTTACACACAGCAGTCTGGATTGAGCAGCTTCAAGAGAACATTGGTCCTCACCTTGTGGTACAGGTCGGCTCGCGTTTCAAACCCAGGAGCGCGCGGCAGCAGTAGGCAGACCAGAATGCGCCACCAAAGCCAGCACACCAATTGTGGGCAAGCGCCTGCCCCTGGCGCCTGCGCTTGCCTCCTCCTCCCCCTCCCCTTCCCATCCCCCCAACTGCCCTCACCACTTCATCACCGTGCATGGCTTGGAGGCCTCTGCCTCGCCCTGGAACATGGCCGCTAGGCAGTACCCCAGCGCCGTCTTCACAAACAGCTGCCTGCCGCTCTCGGTGGTGTACACATAGGCAGAGGACCGGGAGGGGCCGCCTGCGGGGGGGAAGGAGGGCGGAGAGAGTGTTGGCGCTCTGGGCTGGTGGTGGCGAGGGCTACTTCTGTGGCGCAACGCACCTGCGAACTTGGCGCCCGTGATCTTTCCCAAATCTGGCATGTGCTCTTCAATCCAGGCAGCTGCTCCAGCCGTCGAGCTTGCTGCAGGACAACAAGCCCAGGTGGTGAACACGCATGCAGATGCGGATGGCAAGTGGGGGGGATGCAACTCTGTCCGGCTTGCAGTGCAAGGCTGTCATTCATGCACAGTCGTGCAGAAGCACCAAGCAGGCCATGCCCAGCAAGAGGGTCCAGCAGGAGGGTCCAGCAAGAGGGTCCAGCACAGGCGGCGGCGGCGGCAGCACAAGACAGGCTGCACAGCAGCCGCTCACCTGGCATCGGCCCCCATTGTCACGTTGATTCTTCTGCGAGATCGCCGAGCAGGGACTGCTCCCACACTGGCAGCAACTCTGGCATGAGGGACCCCCCTAAATGGGGCCGCTGTAGACGGCCTCCTCAAATCCAACACAGTGCTGGTAGCGGCATCAAGGAGGAGCTTTCCATAATTTTAGAGGGGATGGTGTGGGCAGCCGTGCTGGCAAACCACGGCCCACGGCCGCATTTCTCACCACATTGGGTTTTCGCCCAACCCCGGCACCACGTGTGTCATTCTGCTTCTCATTCTTCTTCACCCGTCACCTTCAGGAAGTTCTAGAACCTCTGCGGTGCCTCACGCACCTTCCTCGGCGCGCTGCGATGCTCAGCTGCCCGGTTAGGCTGCTGGATGGTGGCCGGCTGTCTCTCTGCAGAGCGCCGGAGCGCCGGAGCCTTCAGTGCCACGCCCGCCGGCGCCGCCGGTCAGGCGGGGACGAGCCCGCCGGTGCGCCGGCAGAAGCGCTGGTCTCTCAGCTGCTGGAGCGGCTGGCGAGCAAGGAGGATTTGGACAAGCTGGCGAGCAAGGAGGATTTGGACAAGCTGGCGAGCAAGGAGGATTTGGACAAGCTGGCCGAGAAAGTGGACGCAGTGGACAAGAAAGTGGATGCAATGAGCACCTTGATGGGCAGCCTGTACGATGCAGCGGCCGCTGGTGTGCCGGAAGACCGGCGCCGCATCGTTTACCGCAATCCTCTGTCGCTGGCAGCAGACTGTGGCCTGCCGCACGATGCGGCGGCAGGGGAGCGCGTGGCGGCTGTGCTTGTTGAAAAGGTGCGGGGGCGGGGCTTTCCCAGGATGGCCGTGGGAGCTGCACAGTACGCTGTTGCAGTCACCCTTGTTTAAGTGGTTAGCTGCCAGCGTGTGTCAGCCCAGCCTGCCCATCCATTCCCTCTCTGCGCCTTGCCCTGCAGCACGAGGCAGCACATGCATTCCGCATGCAGGTGATGCCCGTGGTGCTGCGTCAACAGGCCAAGGCATCAGATGTGGAGCAGGCGAGTGCGGGGCCCATTGTTCCTGCGGCCTGCCCGTGCGCCTGCATCCCTTCCCGCCGCCTCTTTGCCTGCTGCTTGTTGCTTGCCGCTGCTGGTGATTGCGGCAGCACGTCT